AAATTAAATTAAATTGATATTTTTTAAAAATATTTTAATATTTTGCATAGTCATAAAAATTTTATATGTAACCATAATTATACTTGTTAATTCTTTACTAAATATATAAAAAAAAAATTAACAAGTCTAATAAAATTTTATTACTATAAAAACTACAATTAATAACTTTAATAACATTAGTTTTGGAATCACTTTCTCATTAGAAAATCTTGATGCTAGAATTTCTTTCAAACAAGGAATGAAAATGTAAAAGGTTGTTCTCCAGTGACATATTTTCTCACTTGTTCCTTTGACTGCCTTCCTTCTCCACTAGGAAGATTCAAACCTATTTTCCTACTTGTTTCCTTTCGCTGCCTTCCTTCTCCACTTGAAAGAGTCAAACCTAACAAGCTGGTCCATCTGACATATTTTAACGCTTGTTTCCTTTCATTTCCATCTGCACTTGGAAGATTCAAACTTATTTTCCTATTCGTTTCCTTTTACTGCCTCCCTTCTCCACACTACCAGAAATTTGACCATTTCGGTCATAATATTTCGGTCAAACAATTTTTTTGACCAAAAAAATAGTTAATTCGAATAAATTCAATAACTGAAAATTAAAATTGACCAAAAATAATGGAAAAAAGCATACAATTCGGTCCCATTTTATTTCAGTCAAGTATCTTGACCGAATTAATTTGGCGCCAATTGGTGTCGAACCAAATTGGTCAAGTGTCTTGACCGAATGTTGCCTACCTATTTATTTGGTCAAGAAAACTGACCGAATAAAAATAAAAAAATATCTATACTTTTTTTTTAGAATTAAATATTAATAAATAAAATAAAATATTATTTCTGTCATAAATATTGACCGAAATAAAAATATGAACCGATTTGACGATTGTTCTAAAATTGCAAAGATGTTTCGGTCAGCCATGCTGACCGAAACAGGAATTGGAAATCTGCTCTACAGATTGCCTGCATGTTTCGGTCAGCATGGCTGACCGAAACAAGAGTTCGAAATCTCCATGCAGATTTCCTCAAGCTGATTGAAACAAAAATTGGAGATGCATGGAAATCTGCAAAGAATATTTTTGCAGATTTCCAATTCTTTTAGAAATTTAATTTAGAAAAATTTTTAAAATTTTGTGATTAGTAATTGGTAAAGGTTAAATACCCTTTTTGGTCCCTCTACTATAGGAAAAAGCCCCCTTTTTAGTCCCTGTACCGAAAAAATCCCCTTTTTAGTCCTTACTGTTCACAAATCCGACCCCTTTTTAGTCCTTCCGTTAAATTTTAGCTGATGTGGCAAGTTAATTAACGGAAACACTCATTCTTTTTTTTAAACTAAATTACGTGGAAAATCCATGTGGCCAAAATTGATGACATGTTTAATTTTTTATCTTTAATTACTGATATACCCTCATCTTCTTCCCTGACTTTTCCTTCCTCCAGCCTTTTTTTTTTTTTCTTTTTTTTTTCTTTTACCTCCAGGCAAACCCAAGAGGCGCGAGGAACG